AGTTGCCACGGCGGTGCAAGTCTCTATCAACAAGATGAATCGAATCCAGTCTTGGAAATATTGGCAGCGCTACCCAAGAAATTCCGAGCATACCTCACATGCATGCATTAGCTTGAATATAGGGCGCGTGTGAGGTGTGCTCGGAATTTCCCGGGTAGCGCTGCCAATATTACCAAGACTAGATTGGATTCATCTTGTTGATAGTGACCTCACTTGTCACGGACTGGATGTATAAGGGGAATCAAATCCAAATCCACTGGTGGACTAAGACTACCTTAGAGGCAGTATTGATCTAACTGCATACATGTAGGTTGTATGAATTGGCAAACACCTTAAAATTCTGTTTGACATGTTTTTGATTTAGTAGAATAGGTTCTGGATGTACCCAATCATTACTGCAACGTGTACTGGGGTCCAAAATTACCGGTACCTGTCAAAGCACACCCCTGGTTTTGCGACCCTGGCCCCCTCTCCTGTTGTTACACCACGGGTTACGGGTATTTTTCTGTCGCCTGTTCAAGAAAATCTTGTCTCGCAGAGAGTTGAATTTCATGCCCCGAAGCTGGCAGCATCAATGAGATATTTCCTCTGTACGCCAACAATCCTCAGTCAATGGTCCCGTGACGTGCAGCCGAGCACAGCCGTAGCATAGGATACCCGTAATTAAATGGGTTTTTACCGTATGTCATCACTCTGGACGCAAAACCAACCACCCGTGCTGTTTACGCATCTGTTTGTCTGCTCGGCTAGTTTGATGTGTTTTAGTGCCGTGTCTTTGTTACTTGTAAATTCGATGGTGACATGTTCATTGCGCAGCTTCAGACATGGTTTCCTCATTTCGTTTCAAAACTTAAACAAGAAAAATGTAGATTTTTGTAAATTTGCATTGTGATTCAGATTCTTTGACCGTTTGACGTCACTCTGTCCTTAAAACCAACCATCCATGCTGTTTGTCTGCTTGGCGTGTTTGATGTGCATTTACATTGTAAAGGTAGCTTCTCTTATGAGTTGTAACGCCATCAGTGACTGTGCCTGCGCAAATGCTGGGGCCATGGCTACCCCACTTTGTTTCCAAAATTTAAAACAAGATAAACTGCAATTTGTTGGAAAATCACTATCGTTGGAAATTGGAGTGTGTACAGCACAGTTGATACAATGGAGTTGATCATTCGGTTGGCTTTGGCTGCCGACACATTCGCAGCGCGGGACACTTAAAATTGTTAGTTTATCTCTTCAGTAGTTTCGTACGCATATGATTTGAGTATCTTTTTTTCTTTTCTTTTTGTCAAAATGGGTTTTTTTTTTTGTGAGGCTGCAGAATGCTTTGCCCCGATCTATCAACATTTTCCTCAAGTTGTCTTCTGACATTCGTTTAAATCGCGGCAAGTCGACCATGTTTTTGTCAACCGTAAACTTAAAACAGACTCTTTGTAGCAATTGGGAATTGCTATATTTGTTGTGCACATACATCTGCAAGGTTGGGACCAAAGTTTTATGTTCACTTTTAATAACCCGAATTTACATTAATGAGAGTCAACTGTATGTAAAAAAATTGACACGATTTTTCTTTCAAAGAAGTATTATTAAAGGGTACGTAGTATAAAACAAAAAGTTCCAAATTCAAAGTCATGAACCTGCTCCGCTCCTCTGCTGCAGACCCCTCTTCGCCCACCCCAGACCCTTCTTACTCAAGCCCACTGGGGCCCCATGCCCCATTCCGGGGAAGCTCATAATTTTACCCAACACATTTTCCCACAATGTTTCCATTAATTGTGTTGCAGTCGGTCGATCCTGGTGGATTTCTACTAACAGTCGCCCACAGGTGCGCGTTATGAAAAATGCTTCCTCCCTTAAACTCCCCTGCAGGCAAATATTGTGTTTATTAAAATGCTGCACAGGTGGTTTGTGTTTCTTGCGACATGAAACACCTGTAGTTCGAAAGTCCTCGCCCATAGTTGACGAAGACCAGTGAAGCGTATTTGTCATCATCTTGTAGACAAAGTTGGATGTTTGTTAGAAGAGAAAGTGCAAACAGCGGAAACTTGAGGTTGAACTCTAAGTTACCCTGTAAAAACTCAAGCAAAACCTTGAGTTACCGGCTTGTTATATAGGATCATTTGCATTTATCCCAAAAGTAACCTACCGATACAAGTACCAAATTATTTTCAAAAAATTACTTTGATTAAACCATCCTGCTATTTAAGCAGTCAAAGACAGTCCAAATTTCCATCCTCTTCCCAGGCTAAACTTTTAATACAGGCTAGTCACCAGCAGTCAGATGTCAAACAGGCCTGTGCCTAGTCAAAGTCAGTCAGCAGACCATGAACAAACAAAGCAGACAAGTTGTGGGCACAGCAGGCATATCAATTACTCACAGTCAAAGCAAAGCTGTATCAAGATTTATACCTAAACAGTCCCAGCCAGTCAATCCTGCTTAACTGTCGAAAACAGTCACTTGATTAATTTTGACTGAAAGGATTACCTGGCACAGAATATATGTCTGCATGGGAGGGTTAAAGATCGTACTGGTACTGAACACTCCGTGAAATCATTCCATCTGGCTTGCTGTCATTTAGAAGAAATCAAACAATGTAGATGATTTCCAATGATCACTCAATTGACTTGTTTTGAAAATCTAAAGTGCTTTTGACAAAATCGTATTTCATGATCAAAAGGTTGTGTATGGTTTTTCACGGATTATTTTTGACAGATATGTCTCGCTTGTTGCGTGGTTATCCGTCATCCGTTTCCGAATACCACAAAACCTTTGCATGTATACACGTCATCCGGCGCGAACTGCTTAATTTTTGAGCAAAATCAAATGCCACTTCATTCCAAGATCAAACTGATAATTCTAGTACCATAACACAACCCTCGACATGTCACTCAAAGCAGAGTATAATCAGGTCAGTAATTTCGTAAAAAGTATGCACAAATGGAACTTTCCAAAGAAAAACAAGCCTAGTGAGATTCAGCCAATGTAGGTCAGGCCTGGGTACAGGTAACCCCAGGTTTCAGGGAAGTGTACCGATGAGCGAAATTACCTCTTTTGGAGTTTTTTTTGGGACCACACGACCTCCGTACCTGGTCACGTACGTACTTTTTTACCTGTTGCCCGACACAGGTGAGTTCCTATGACAACAGATGGGGAAATGTTCCTAATGGCGACAATCCTGTTTTGATAATTGATTGGCCTTAACTCGGACCAGGTGACCTCTGCGTACCTCAGACATTGCCCAGGTGTGCACTGGTAACCAGTGGCGTGGCATTGGGGGGGGGGGGGGGGGGGCTGGGGTAAAAAGAGAACCCATGACCAAAACAACATGAGAGGGGGAGCTGGGAGGGGTAGCTGCACAGGGGGGGAAGAAGGGAGGGGTACCTTTGCATCTTTTCAACACACTGAACACGTGCTCTAAGCACCGCCTGCTTGTGCGTGACATGCTGTATGCGGAAGTGGCTTAAACCATCATTCTCAGGTCATTTCTCAAACCCCGGCTTTGTCTCCGTTTCATGGCTGTCAGGTAAATGGAAATTGTAGGGAAACACATTTTGCAACCCTCCCCCCCCCCCCCATGAAGAAATTCTTGCTTTCTTTCGGCTGAATTAAAGAATGCCAATATTGTCTCTAGTTTTGCAATGTGGGTTTATCATGAATTGATATCACTGAATAAAATAAGAAAACCATTGCCACTGCAGTCCTTCTGATTTAAGGCGTGCCATCGCACCCCCACGCCATCGCATGCCTAAAAGCTTCCCAAGAATTGGGAATAATCGCACGCCTGAATCCCTCTGCACCGCACACCTCGGCATACATTTACGGACAAATTAATATCAAATTTGGTAGAACTAGGCAATAAATAACCCCTTTCTGTGAGCTCTTGAAATGGCCTCACTGTAAACCAAGATGAAGATTATAAAACAAAATACCAGATTGTTCAGTGCCAGCTTCCAACACAGAAGCACATACCAAGAAAAACCACATGCCGAGAGAAATCCAGGTGTGGCTTTTTCCACACGCCTGTGATATTTCAAATCAGAAGGACTGCCATTGGCAATATGTAGGGCCTAAATGACTTACATTATTTCTGCACCAAGCAGCGTTTATTTGGCTGAAGTGGCAGTAAAGGTGTACATGTAGACCCCTTATATGATGAGAGGCAACATCCTCTCATCTTCTGGGATTCCACTGGTTGCTGTACTCCGTACTTTGCGTAAAAAAAATATTGTATTCATTTTCAGTATCTTTTCAAATAATACAGAGCCTGATTGCCTGAATTTTGTAATCCTTGTTTTTGTATTTTTTTTTGGTTGGGTTCCTGACAGGGTTGGCGGTAATAAAAAAAGGTGTTTGTTTTCTTGGGTCGGGAGCCCAAAGTAGGGTCGGTTGAAAACGAGAACCAAACAAATAAAAAGTGATGCCCAAATTGACCACTACATGGATCCATGAGGAAGACTAGATGTACTAAAGAGCTTTAACAATCACTATGCCTGATGCAAGAAATTGATTCTTGCCCATCAAAAAACCCAGTCAACTTTCCCCAAACTATAATGAGCCAGTTCGGTATTTCAACCGTGCATGCGCACAATGGTATGGGTCACGGGTCATTCAGGATCATAGAAAGCTCATTGAAGGTGCGTAAACGCGCAGGAAGATGGGCGCACGATGCTCACGCTTTTATTACCTGCAGAATGGGCGTCCGTGTAACATCGCATAAAATCACATCAGCAGTTTTATCCCGATTGCCCTTTGACCAGGACTATGTAGATTCTATGCCTCAAACCATATAGGTCTACTTCACTCACTTACCTGTAGAGCCACAACATTTGCATTTAAACTCACCTGGGCCGGGGACACAATACGGACTGCTTCTTTTGTCCGAAGTGAGTTTAAATGCAAATGAAGTGGCTGTACAGGTAAGTATCGCTCGTAGACTCCCACCACACTTCTGTGGGGGGAAATGTAAGTTTACCAGCTCTTTTTTCTGTTCTCATTCATCCAGTTCTGAACCCTGTGGAATTCATCATACCGGTAGGAAACCAGACTGTCGTAGACAAGCAGCTGATACCAGCTTACTTCCAGTGCGTCTCCGGTGACAGCCGACCCGAGCCAACCATCACATGGGAAAAGGACGGAGTACCAGTGACTGAAGGATTGTCCTATGGGGTGCAGTTTGGTGGTCCCGGTTCCCTACAGTGGTCCCAGACGCTACAGATAAACAACGTCCGTAAGCGGCACGAGGGGCGGTACCGATGCGTGGTGACCAACCCTCTCTTGAGTGGGCAGGTTCAGAGAAGTGCTTACTCTTGGCTTATAGTCAATCGTAAGTCTATCATGATTTGTTTAAGTTGAAAAAGAAATTAACTGGAGCAGTGGTTGGAACCTGTGACCTCCGGATTACCGTTCCTGTGCTGTACCAACTGAGCTATCCAGCCCTATGTTGGCGGTTCCCTGTTTAGTCAATGTCTTTGTTCAAGGGGAACCAGTCGGAAGCCATAAACCTGTATATGCCATGTAGTTAGGGATCAAGCCCAAAGCCACAATGCCAGCAACATTAGCAATGCTGCAAACCTGGGAAATAGCAAACGGGGATCACTCAGAGAGGATACAGTTTTTATGTGAAAATGTTTGAATTTAGCATCAAAAACTGAACTTGTGATATGATGAAATCAAGTTTTGAATCGGTAAAAGTACTGGTATGCATTGTCCAAATGGTGACTGTTTTATGAACAATCATAAACAGTTTGGACCCAACTGTAACAACTCTGCTGAATATCAGATGACTGTTGTTCACTGATGACTGTTGTTCACAGTTAAAACACGAAACAGTCAACAAATTAGAAAGAACAGAGAAAGAAAGAAAGAAGTCGTAGTGAAAGAAAGTCTCCATTCACATTTTGCTTGAATTGTGAAAGATTGAATGTAGAAGGGAAGCATGCATGATTCAGGTAGAGAGTTCCAAAGAGAGGAGGTACAAGGGAAACAACTAGAGGATTATTTCCAGTCCTAGCCTTAGGAACCATTACTGTGAAAGGATGTGAAAGAATTTTAAAATGCAACACAAAATGCATCGCAAATGTTTCCAGAGATCAGATGCAGGTTGTTTGCTAATATGGTTAACAAGTTAGGTTTCTGTTTCAAAGTTTCCATATTTCTATTTGACAACCTTCAGCTAATCCCGGAGAGCCATACATCAGCATAGCACCCCACAGCCAGATCGTCCCTGCCGGTAACCCAGTGACGTTCCCCTGCCAGATCCTAGGTGACCCTGCCCCAAACATCAGCTGGAGACAGGCCAACGACCCCTACGACCTCGCCAATACCACCAGCCGATACGTCCTTGCCGACGGTAGTCTGTTCTTCACCAGTGTCTCCGATGCTGATGATGGGAGCTATGTGTGCACCGGATCCAGCCGGTTGGGGTTGGTTTCGACTGATCCGGTCACCCTGACTGCTGCTAGTAAGTATGGAAATGCAAACTTGCATGAAACATCATGCATGTTGGAGATGATTTCATGTGAATGATATGGCAATGTTAAGACCTTTCACACTTACAAAAAATCTTTATGTTTGACCTGGGTCGAACCTTGGATATTTTGGCAACCCTTTTCACTCTGGGAAGAATCCAACATGGCTTCTAGATGAGTCTGGTGCTTATAATACACAGGTGCTAATACCAGAGCTTTGGCAGAACTTGGGTGGTTTAGGCAATCTAAACCCCCCCTCCAACCCCCTGGGGATGCAAAATGTAAGAAAATCATGCAGGAAAAAAGTAGCATATGCCTGTTAAACCCCCCTAACCCCGACAGCTTACTTCCCCCCTCCCAACCCCCCTCCCAACAGCTTAAACCCCCCCCCCCCCCGACCCAACAGCTTACCCCCCCCCCAGCCTAAGCTAGATCCGTCTCTGCAGGTGTCACAGAATGCTGTCAGAGTCATAGATTAATCCATCTCTCCGTACATGATCTTGTATGGAAACACAAGGAATTGCATGCAAGTTAAACAACCAGCATCAGTGGCCTTCATGTATAATGAAGAGCAACACCCACTGTGTGAGAGTGTCTGCTTGAGACAGCGCCTCCAGTAGTCATATGGAGTCCAGCCTATCCAGCCCCCCCCTCTCCTTTTTCAGTTCGTTGGCTGGCTGACCGGAAAATAATTCCTGGCTACCTTCCAGCATAGAGGGGAGGGCCTGTCGTCAAATTTGTTTTCACACCATCCAAATTGGTCTTGTTGTGCCCCTGCCTTCAGGCATGATGTCAACAAGTGGAATCCAATCAAGATGTTCAGTTTTGACTACGTGTCTCACCGGGGGGTTTATAAAATTAAGTCAGTACCAGCACATGTGGTGTGCAGACATGGGGTAAAGATGGAAGTCAGATGGTATGGGCTCTGTGCGAGAAAAGTGAGGGCGATTTTTTTACCACTTTCGAGAGCACAGTGGACAGAACACACTGTGTTCCCGTACTGGTTTGCGTACTGGTATTATAGAGCGCGAAGTTTGCACCTCTAATGTTATTCTGAATGTGCACAAAGCCACAGCATCTTTGCATTTAAGCATTGACTTTGTCGGCAAGCAGCGTTCCAATGTTTCTCCTGGTGGCCCCCCCTCAAACTCTCCCTTTACAACTATTGATGGGTCCATAAGCCATGCAACATGCAGAAAGTGAGGGTCTTGTTTTATCAAGTGCTTGGTATGAACCTTGTTTTCCACTACGCTGTTTCTGAACTAATAAACCGCGAAACGACAAAATTTAAACGTCTGACTTTTGCAAATACTTTAACGGTTGGGCTGGAAACCCAGAATTTGCCATTTTTAAAATTTCCTTCTGGCGTTTAAAGTGTCTGCATGCGTTTGTAGATGTGCCACGCTAAGCCGTGTCTTAAAAAATTTACGCCAATACAATGCATCAAAAAAACTCTGGCATCCAAGAAATTGTGAGAAATGACTTTACAAGTTCACTTGAGCATGTTGAGTCGGACTGAAACTGCAGACCTGCTGCAGCTTTTCTTACCACTCGACCGCTTAGCTTGGTCACACTTATTTAATAAGCCTGCCACTTCTTTAAGAGACTGTACATCGTAATTGTTCCATGTGTACAAAAGTTTCGCTGTCCGTACCTTTTAGCCGAAGTGGAGATCAGCGGCCAAAATTGATAAAAGATCAATCAATTATCCACAGTTGTGTTTCTGATTAACGATACTTAATATCGCTGATACACTTTTCACGATTTGACCCACTTTCAAAAAAAAAAAAAGAGAAAAAAAAGAAGGAAACCCGAAAATCTGAGTTAACCTGCTACCAAAATACCAACGGCTGGATTTAGAATGACTTGTTGACCTTTGGGATTTGCGCCTCCTGACCTTGCTTACGCCTCCCCCCTCCCCTCAGACGCTCTGATTGGACTGTCCCTTTTGATTTCCTTGAGCCGCCTATCGCCTATTTTTTGTTTCTCTTTTGCTTCGGCCATGTTGTGAACTCAAAACAGCCCTCTTTTTAAAACGGGCGGCGGGGGATGTTTAAATAAAGCTAGTCCCTCGACCTAATCATTTCTAATTTGCGGATCGCCTGAGATGCGTACGTGTTTGCCAGGATCTGGCAGTTTTTGGATGGCAGAGATAACACAATGTGGAGCAGATTGTGGAGGTGGGGGTCGTAGGAAGGAGGCGTGGAAAACAATAATTAAGACGGTTAAATGGAAACATTCTGGTTACCTTGAAGATTCAATCTTTGGAGTTTTTGTAATTAGCTGTTGCACCCAAAATAGCCACACATATCCCCCAAATTGTTAAAGTTCACACGAAGCCTACAACCAAACAAGACTTTGATTGTTTGATACTGTTAATGAGAAAGATTACGCAAATGTGAGTATGTTCCAACTCTGGGCGACACTCTTAGTAAACTTTGAAAAAACAAAATTCCTTGTTATGAATATGTGTAAATCACCATGATGTAAATATTCTATCTTCCCCCTGCAAACTTAGTGGTTGATAAGACATCTGCACCGATAAACAGGAGATTTTTGGTCGCAGTCCAGCCCAGTGGCGCGCGCACCCAGTATTTGGCTGGGGGGGAGGGCTCACAATTTTTTTTTTCAATTTTCTTAGAATTTGGCCCCCCCCCCAAAAAAGGGTCTTTTTTGGGGGGGGGGGCGGGGGGGGTTGGACCATTTTGACGTTGGTGGCGAGACTTTCACCTCTATAACATGTATACTACTCAAAAATAGGCTACATACATTTCACCAAGGTCAAAAAGTGGGACACACACAAAAAAAAAAAAAAAAAAAAAAAAAATTACAACCTCTTGGGGGGGGGGGGGGGGGCCTCAAGCCCCAAAGCCCCAAAGCCCTCCCCCCTTGGGTGCGCCACTGGTCCAGCCCGAGCCAGTCCTTAGAGTTTTTTCTCACAAGAATTAAAGGCACCAATCGTAAGAACATTTGCCATTACCCAGAAACGTAAAGATACCTACCCTACTGATTTAACAACGAAATCCTTGGTCAAAGTGAAGATAGGACTGGTACCAAATACCCTATGAAATTATTCCACCTGAAATGGTATCATTTGAAAGTTTAAGAAAGTTTATTTGTGGTTTTAAGAAAGTTTGCCCAAGGGTCCTTTTTTTGTTTTACGTACATTAGCAACGAAATCCAGTTACTTGCAACCAAAAAATCTGCAACAAATTGCCTTTTTCCCTCAAATATATGGGATAATATTAAGGATTCGGAAGTGATTGGTGTTCATACAAATACTGAAATCTGTGCTCCTTAAAATTTGCCTTTAATGCAGATTAAAAAAAAAAGGGATGAAATTGGTTTGGAGGAAAGAGTTGAAGTGGAGCATTCATCACGGCCTATTTAATGTCACAACAGATCTAAAAGTCTGCGAGATAAATGCCTATCCGTCTTGCGCATTTAAGATGATTTAAACGTGACTCAAACTTTGTCAATTACAGGGATGGGAGGTAGAGGAAGGACTGTTCATCGTGACGGGGAGTGTTGAAACCCCAGGACAGTCTGTGCGGAAAATATCCCCTCTAGCAATGGAATTGCTGAAACAACTGTTGGGTTAGACTGGAGACTCGACTTCATACATAAGGACTTTATATTTTTTTGGGGGGGGGGGGTATCCTTACTTGCAGCTGAGAAGCTGATTGCGAGGGACGCAGCTACAACGTGGTCGAGCCAAAGGCATGTAAAGGTGCCTTAAACAGCCACTATGAGACTAGTGTCTGATCACAGAGCACAGCCAGATTGAAAGAGTTGATTTTTCTGGCGGGAGAAAAACCAGAGAGCCTGGAGAAAATAAACCTTGTGGCATAGGAGATAATCAACGGATAACTCTCCTCACTATGTGTTCCGAGCCGGGAATCGAACCCAGGCCAGAGTTGTGAGAGGGGAGCACTTTACACACGAGCCACCCTGCCACTTATACGCGTGATTCCCTCAAAAAGTCTTTCCCACTAAAGGTCTTGCCTGCCCATGTTGAAATCATCACTGGTCCGCCGTAAGCGGAGCAGGGTTCCTTCTAACTCAACGTACTGTTCACTCTTGCACTGAAGTCAGGTCGGCTGCAGATTTTGGGAATCTCAACCCAGGTATAGAGCTTCTCGACCCAGGTAGAGCCTCTGGATCCTGACCAGGGTTAGGTTTTACCTGTGTAATGTGATATCTCCGTGTTGGACCCAGGCCCAACATGGAGAATTTGGATAGTGTTACCTACCAGTCTATCAACGAAACAGTACCCCATTACATGCAACAACTCATATCGCCATACAATCCTTGTGCCAAGTACGCTCTAGTGATGCGCACTTGCTTGTGGCTCCATAGACTTATGGACACAGAAGTTTTTCTGTTGCAGCCCCTTGCCTGTGGAACAGCTTGCCAATAGCCATGAGATCACAACCCGACACCGACTCTTTCGAAAGTGGTCTCAAAACTTACCTCTTTATTCAAGCTTATCATTAGTGATCTCAGACCCCAGCGCAGTCAATAGGTTTACAAAATGTATCTAGATATCAGCGCTTTATAAGGTTTTATTATTATTTATTTATTTAGTGTGAAATCCTCTATAGCTTCTGAAACTAAAGCAATGTGCTGTGATGATGCTACTTTCCGTGCAGTCTGAAAGAGTGCATAGAAATCAAAGAAACAAACAAAACATGACACAATTTAGAGATAGCCATGAAAAGCTTTCGCTAGTCATTGACTAGCAAGTAAGATAACAGCAGTCAGTAGTGATCGAATGAGTAATGTTAAGGGAAAATAACTTGTTCATTCTCTTCAATCAGTCAGTAAGGGGGTGATTTTTCATCCAGAACATTTACGGATAAATATCTTCCAAACGTTTATGTGTAAAAGAAACAGGATGTTCCAACTTTAATGCTATGTTTTTTCTTCATGATTTGTCACTCGTCAAGTTTACTTACTTTCGTTATAATACTGCCACAACTCATCAGAATCAAGGATATTTTGACAGCTACCGATACGCTATTTTAAGACAGCAAAGTACATACAGTACATTAGTGTGCCGCGCATTGTGGTTCACTCGCGTAGCTTAAGTATGTGAACACATCAGTGCGTGAACCAGCATGCAAACTAGAACGAAGACGTCAGACTTCGGTACTATACACTGTATACACATGTGTACATTAAAAATTGAGAAAAAGCAATTGACAGTTTGCATAATGAAAACTGACTCAATCTACATCAGCATTTGATGGCATTGTTCTCTTATCGTACTTCGACACAAATTAGATTAAATAATTCACAAGCAGATGTCGTACATGTAAATCAATCTTTTTCCATACATTGCAATTGCCTTGCGCATTCTCCCAGGCCACATTGAAACCCAGACATTTTCTTAATCAATAACCCCTAAAGGCAGCATACATTTTATGTAATTTTTGGGGTCTGCCCTTTTTTACTTGTTTAATTCCCACGTGAAAGCTTGACATTCCCTTTTCCTGGGTTTGAACCGCAGGCCATTTCTGGGTCAGCACCGGTACCTCTGCCCGTTTGGATAACGAGGCATTGTCAAGCTTTACCATACCTCCGGGGAAACGGCAACATTGAAAATGTGCCCTCGTTTTTGAGTGAATGCTGCCCTTTGTTTCATTTCACATGCAAAAGATGAAAAGCAACTCCTCTAGTTCTGAAGCATCAACTGATGCAAAATTGACAATTCTTAAAATTTCACGGCATGGGTTAAATATGCACATTTGTATAGCAGTGAATTGTTTGGTAAAGTCGCAAGGGTTATCTTTCAATTTATAGATAATTAACCCTAACACCCTAGACCCTTTTGGTTTATTGGAACTATCCTCAATCTTGCAAAGTCCTCCAGTTGCCACCATGTAAAAACTCGATCAGCCTCAATCCTCAAAGATCTCAATCCTCTGAAAATTTCATGGCATCGGTTAATATTCACATTTGTATAGCAGTCAATTGTTTGGTAAAGTTACAAGTTACTTTCAGTTTATAGATAATTAACCCTTTATACTCCCCAGATCGACCCTTTGGTTATACATGTAGGAACCATTGCCTCAATCCTTCAAAATTTTCCAACAATCAGTGTTATTTGAGGCAGTGCAGATGACATTCAGAAGCAGTGCGGTTGATAACAAGCACAATGCGGGGCTCAGTTATGCATGACTGAACATAAACAATTATGGGCACAGGCTACGAACTTGACACAATGGACACAATGCATCCTCCAAAATAAACCAACTGTTTTTTTGCCATTCAGCTTCAATCCTCCATAAAAAAACTGCCTCGAGGATTTTGGAAGATTGAGGAGGATTAATGTTTAAACCAAAAATATGCTTTCAAATAGTACTACAAAGTTGTTTTCCAGTGACTTTTACTGACGTCTTGAGAAAAGGCAACAAACTTCCCCAAGCAATTCTTTTACACACTTGGTATCTTTTTTTTTTTTTTTTTTGCCGTGAACGTCATTCGACATTCATTTTCAATTTTTACCCAACTGTTATCTGTGTGATCAACCGAACGGAACTTGGGGTCAACAATTTTAATTTTATAATAATCATCAATTTGCAATATTCTCAATATGTTGTGTAATGTAATTAATGCTTTCTTTTCTTTCAAAGTAATCATTTATTGCCCTCGATTGGATATGGGCCCAATCATGATACAAAATAACTGCCAAAAAATATAGGATATTACATGTACATGTATGTTGTAGATCCCACAGGTATACATGGTGCCCGGATGTGCTGTATTCTTCATACAAATTTCGCAGGTTTTTGAGGTCAACCTGGTGACTGAGTTTGCCAGGATCCAATGGTGAGTTTGAATTCCATATTGTGTCAGCGATTAAAAGAAAATATCTTCTTTGTCATTTTGTGCTCTTTAGGCATGGGTTGGACCTTCACGGAGAGTCCCTCGGATGTCGAGGTCGTGGAAGACTCCTCCGCTACGTTGATCTGCCGTCCACCAGTCAGCAAACCACCCGCAAACATCACATGGTATAAAAGCAATGTGCTGTATGTACCGAGCCAAGGAGCAGCTGTACTGGGTAAGTTTCTGTGTGCATGCATCTCACAGAGTCTCCATTTTTGTAACATTACATTCTACCTTTGGCAGTCGTTTATGTATGTAAATTGTTTTTTTTGAGAATTAGGAGTTTTCCTTCCACATCTGGGAGTATAATTTTCTTCTACCAAGTGACCCCGGTAGAGAAATAAGGCCAAAGACTTCCATGGGCTATCTCTGTGTAATGTGCAATAAAAAAAAAAATTAATCAAATACTTCATGTCGAAAGCTGTTCCACTTCTGTATGGCCTGCAACAGCTAGTGGACGTGAACATGACTTTGTGGCATCATTGCCACCAAAGCTTACCCCTGCTTATGAAGTTTACTGGATGTCATTGTCAGCTTGGTTGATTTGTTATAAGTGTAGCTCATAATTTGCCACCCTTTTATATGGGCTCCAAGCGCAATCCCAAGAAAGGGCATATTTACCACCTTGGAGAGCTCCGCGGATGGGACACACCATGTCTGCGTACTTGTTCACGCATGGCGCGAAATACGCACGTCTAATTTTGTCCTGAATGTCCACAAAACCATAGCGTCTTTGCCTCAGCGTCGGGCGTCGTCGGCAATGCATTTGAATGTCAGTCCAAGTGTTCTCCCCAAACTGACTCTTTCTTGTGCACGGAGCCTGTAGACCCTCCTTTGCCAACCACGGGTTAGCACACTATGGAAGGTCAAGGTTGCAAAAACAAACAATATTTATTACTCTTTCCCAACATATCATTGGATTGTTGAAAATACAACATAACAACAAGTGCTACCAAAGACTATTATCTTCAAGCAAAATTGATTCCTCGATCCTGATTGGTCGATCCATGGCAACAAGCCGTGCTACATTTAACCATACCGCACGACCACGGTCCATACTGCACTCCGCGTATTGCGCTATTCTAAGCCTACGTGACACGATTAGTGCTGCACAATTCACTGTGAATTCAAAAGTTGTGCGTAGGTTACACAAGCATGCGTGTTCCAACTTTACTGTGGTCAAGTTTGCTTGAAGATAAATTCGTTATCATGCTCGCGCTCGTGGAACACGGAAAATGTAGTGTGTCTGTGTCCCACATACCACTCAGCCTTCGGCCTCGTGGCATGTGGGACACAGACGCACTACATTATTCCGTGTTCCACTCGCGCTCGCAAGATAACTAATATTGGCCAACCAACCACGGCTTACGTGTAAATGTATGCTCTTGTGGCAGCCCATACAAAATGGCAAAGGAAAGAAAGGTCTATAGTGCCAAAAGTTTACTTCCATTCTATCGAAAGCTGAGTCAACAATACCATTTGAAGTCATGCAGTAATGTAGAAAGTATGAGTGCTGTGCACCAAGGAAAGCAAGACAGTAATATCAAGGTCATGATTACAGTACTTGTATCTGGAATCATGATGACAACGTAGTAATGTTGAGGTCATCCTATATTAAGAAATACCATGTGTCCACAGATAACCCACTTGGCAAAGTGTGATTAATGATCCTGGTATTTTTGAGCGACCTTGTCATGAGAGCATGCATCAATTGGCCTTTTTTCCTTCATCCCAAAATAACCCCCCATCTGCTCAGTATTTGCTGTTAATTGTATGTTGTAAGGCATTAAAGTGCTGAAGTTGTGGGGTGGGGGTTGGGGAAGGGGAACGGGAAGGGGGAGGGGAAAGGGTGGGGGAAGGGGTGGAGGGAATTGTGTGGGAGGGGGATTGTGTGGGCTATAAACTACAAAGCACTTTACTTGTAATGTGCGTAGGTGCAACTTCAATGTTTTTTTTAAGAATGGGGTCTGCTTTTGTTCATAACATCGTCAAGCTACCTTTTGAATTAGCTCCATCCTCCATAAATTATGAATAAAAGAATACGAAAAGTCAAGGGTAAGTAGGGCTGTGCTGAGTATATTGAACATTGAAATATTTGATTATCCACCAAAAATCTGAGACTAGCATTTTACACAAGAGAATATTCAAAAACGTGAACCGCCTCGAGAAGATGACATAAAGCATCTGCAATGTTATTTTATTCGTTTAAGTTCAGCGGTTTTGTTGGCGTTACAAACATTCCAAACTTTCCAATGAGACATTGAACAAAAAGTTATCTAGGCTAAAGTTGTCAATTTTTTGGAATTCAGCTTTTGAATTAGGATTGGGACGCTCCTAATTTAGCTTTTAGTCTTGACTCAAGTCGGACTTTAAGTCAAGATCTCTACATACACTGCCATCACAACCTAGTCCATAATACCATCATCGATGTCGTGCAATAAGTGCCGCATTAACAAGCGTACCAATCCAGTGTGTGAACATGACCGAGAAGCATACTGCACAGACCAAGTACAACACCTGACCCGGGCAAGTCTAAATTCAGCTTGAGCGTGAAACAAGCGCAATATACAAAGCTCCTTTATACAGGAATCAGTGCCTCTAAAATGCTTGAACATTCGTTCGGAAAATAAAGTAGAAAATTTGAAAAATTACAGGGATGTTACATGTAACTTTAAGGTTTCGGCAGGAATAAATGGGTACATGTACCTGTGAGGCCAGAGATGGTTATCGTGGTTGATTTTAGCTGCTTTGCGCCGAAATGGCAGCATCCAGCTGTGTACTCCCCAGGGAGCTGAGATGGTATTTTGGAACGTTTCAATGGCGCAATGAGCACGGTAATAATGATGTAGCACCTTGAACAACAATACTCCAGGATACGTGTGCTTTATAATTACATTGCATTAATATTATTGTTATTTTAACATTTCCCTTTCCTTGTTCTTGGTATACTTTTTCCTTTTTTTTTTCTCTTCAGTTTTACTGGACAAATATCCGTAACACATACCTAAATACCGGTAACAAAAAAATACCTAGGTTTTTGGGGAACAGTGCTAAAGTACGCAACACAAAAGCCTTGTTTGTCTGAAACACCTGGCCGAGGGAAGGTTCCAATTTGAGCCGCAGATTTGTACCTTGACTCAAGTCTCCCGTGTTCAGCTCGGCACATTTCCAACAACATACCCGCCGTCGAAATGTCACAGGCCGCCGTACATCAATCAGTGGCAAATTACCCCAGGAATCTACCCGGAAGCATTTCACTTTTCCACCCCCTTGAGCCATACCTGTACGAGGGGGAAAAAAAAGTCTAGGGTGCCGTGTTGAGTGATAAAATCTTGTGTTTTGGGCGCAAAGAACGTACATTTTTCTCCCCTGAGGGGTTAATGAGGTAATTTTGCCTGCGCCCGTCGCCATGGCGAGGGTTGCGGTCGATGTGTTCACCTTTACGGAGTTCAATTGACCGAGTAAAATGACAACCCTCCCACTTCATGTGGATGTTTTGCTGAGGGTTGAGAGACATGGCAGGGGTGGAGCCAGGTTATGGACATGGGTGGGAGGCTTCCCATAACATACCGTAAATAGCTGCTGTTATTATTAAAAAAACATTTTCAACAAAGATGGTCAGTTTTTGTATAAAAGTTGTTTGCATTTGCCACCCTTCATGATGGAATGATCTCTCTGATGATGGATTGTATATCACAGCAAGGTTTTAATTTTCCTACTTTTTTTTTTTTTACCTTGCTCCTACTTTTCCTACTTTCTTCCTTGAAATTCCTATTTTTCCCTACTTTTTTGTCCCACAAATCTGAAGAAATGAAATCTCTTTGAATATTTTTCATAACTGTGTTACACACTGTCATAAGTAAATCACATAATGAAGGGCTTGGGCGCATGAGTACTGTACTTCCAAGAGCTTAGTTGAAGATGAATCACAGGTGTTGTACGTACAGAACATGCCAAATAGGGCTTAGGACCTATGATACTGAAGATATGGGTGATTATCAACAAACACTACTCCTGAAAGTCTGCAAAAGTCCTACTTTATCCTGATTTGTCCTTCAAAGTCCTACTTTTGTCCTCTTTTTTGTTGTTGACAATTTGATCTTATTGTTTTCCTACTTTTCACCTGGGTCTTCTTGAAACCCTGTCAATGCTTATTGGCCACATAATTCATTTGAAAGTTTATGACAGACAAAAGATTCTAACTAAGACTTGACCAAATATTCAAAATGCGCTAATCAAGTTTAACAGAAAGACTGTTCTTTGTCCTTGACGCAGCTGTCTCGAGTGTTCTGGATATCTTTAAGAGTTACCTTTCAAGACCCAGCACTAGCAGATAATGTCTTTTATCAATAACCTTGGCCAAAGATTGTAGAAATTATGTTTGTGTCTCAGTTGATGTAGTGCAGAAATTCTGGGCAGGACATGTCGTTTTAATTATTTACATGAAGAAGAGCTGTGTTAGATCAGTTCAGGAAGGAATTGGCCAGTTATTGACAGGTGTGCTGGACTTCATAATGCTTCTTGTTGCAGCGTTTCTTTCTATCAGTGACGCCAAGTTGAAAATAAATTTTAAAAAGTTTTGTTTGTTTGTTTGTTTGTTTGTTTTATTTCCATTCATACTTCAAACATACAATGAATAAAGATTAATGATCGAAACAAAGTGTATCAAAATAGAAAAAGCAGAACAATACAGCATGAATGGGGGTGGCATCCAGAGAAGGACTGGCCTTCTGTAGTGGAGTACACGAGACTGCGGTCAAAGTAAACTACATGTATTTGGAATAATGCAAACAATGAGATCCCAGGTAGAGTTTATAAATGTAGTAAGTTCGAACATAAAGTGAGCACATACAAAAACATAAAAGTCGTATACATAAAGGAGAAAAAAATAGGGAAAAAAGGAATTAACGTCTTGCTGAATGTAGGCACGAGTAGCAGTTAAGATTTGTACAAACAAAATCATTGTACGTATTTAAATAGAATTCCTTGAGGTGTTTAACAAAAAGCTTTTTGGATGAACTGACCAGAAGAAGTCTAAGTTGATCAGGAAGACCAAAGTCAACCTATGTACAAGAAATGGATGGCACCAAACAATCTACGGACCTCTGTTATAGGAAATGTAGAAGACAAAGTCGTGAAAGAAAAGGAACGACGCATTGGATATAGGCACTGGTT